TTTTTTCTAGTATTTTATCTCTTGGTGGTGAGTGTACTCACTCTCACTCTCTCTCCCATATTTTAGGTTTTTGATATAATACTAGCCCTTTTATGTACAAAGTGGCACACACTACAGTCTTTATTTCTTTCCAGTGAAGGGTTTGGTGGTGTTCTGTATGACTATTTGTATGGGTGTCTGGATCTCTTGGAGGTAACATCTACTTGGTTTTTTTTTTTCCAAAGTGATCTTTTTTCCTTAAGGATGAGATTGAACAATTTAAATTTTATTATCTAAATATCAATTATTTGCTAAATATCAATTTAAAAAATTAAGTGGGTGGTGTTTTCACTGTTGGATCAGAGATCTGGCTCAGTGGGTGCTTTTCAGCCTCCAGACATCACCCTGCTGCTGTCCAGGTGTTCTCCAGGGCAGCTATTGCAGCTGAAGGCCTCCCTGGAGAAGGATCTTTTGCATTTTTCCTTCTGGCTGCTGGAAGCATGAGGATCTGCAGGCCTCAGCTTCTCCCTGGCTGCTCCCTTCCTCACAGCCCTCAGTTCATTATCATGTGGGTATTTCCCTAGGGCAGCTCATAACAGGGACGTTCATGGGCTAAGAGTAAGCAAGAGGGCCAGGAGAGCAGCAGAGCCAAACAGAGATCAGAAGTGACATCACACTATGCTTGACATACTCAGCTGATTAGCACTATCTCCAAGTCCAAACCACTCTTAGGGAAGGCCTGAGTTGGAAGTGAGTTGGAACTGGAGGAGAGTTTTTGCCTCTTAGAGGCTGCTTACCACATATTTCTGTAAGAGCTCATTTATTTTTTTCTATGGGGTTTTCAGTGTTTTCTCCTTATTGTTGTCTGCCCAGCTTTCTCCAACCCCTGTCTCCTTACTTCTGTATCTTGCTCCCTGTCTCCCCTCCCTATCTTTACTCTCAGTGTGATCAGTGCTGCCTTCTTGACTGCCTTCTACTCTCAGGGGCTCCAGGTCTCTGCCTTTGCTGTTCTTTTACTATTCCGGTGGCCATGTGTCTGTGCTGGCCAGTTCCAAGCTTCTCCTTCGTGTCTATTTGCCATCCCCACCTGCTCTACTCAGTGCCATGCCCACTTCCCCTATTTCCCTTTACTGCCCAATGCTTAGGGCTGATTGTATCATACTGCAGTCTTTATTTTAAAGAATTGAATATTTATATTCTCTGTGGTTTGCCTATTTCATGCTCATAATTTCTTTTTTATAAATTAGAAGTCATTCATTTGTCTTTGGGGCAACTTAAACAGTATATTAAAATATTTTATCAATGGGGGATTTTAATACCCTGTATGTTTGATGAACCTATTTTATTTTTAAGGTGATACTTTTGTTCTGTTTAGGAGCATAAAAGCACCTTGAAGCCTACCCAGATGAGTGACATGCTGGCATGCTTGGGACAGGTGTTTGAGCATGTGTATGTGCACACTGATGTCTTAGTTCTTGGTTGTGATATATTTTATTACTTTTTTATTACATCATTTTGTCCTGTATTTAAAGCTTTCACAGTAAAAAGCTTTTTGTCCTTGTGACATTGTCCTATGACATTAGTTTGATCTGGGTTGATACTTTTGCCACTATATTTCCTCACCCAAATGAGTCTAGATTCACAGTGGGAGACTTGTCTGGCTGCTTTCTTTCCGGGTCACCTCCAGCATGGCCTTTGTACCCTGATGATATTTTTCTAACTGCCTATACCTACTAGGTCAGGCCCAGTTCCTCTTTCTATCTGCACAGCTGTGATGATACACTGCAGAGGCCTCAGAAAGCAGGTGCTGCTCTTGTCCTGTGTTGGTTCTCGGGCCTCTCACTTGTCTGGGTTGAAGCAAACAGAAAACCCTGTGCTGGGGGGGAGGGGTCTGTGGACTTTTGTAATGCTTCTTTTTTGCTTCAGGGTTCACTCTCAGCTCCAGATGTCCAGATTGGTTCCTGCTCTTCCTCTGAAGGGCAGGGTTTATTTTTATCCTTCAAGATTGTAAGGTCAGTCCTGGCTGCCCAGCCCAGCAGGCCTGTGGCTCCTACTCTGCCTACTGCTTTGAGTATCCCTTCTGTGTTGGCTCTTTAATCTTGGTTTTGAACCTGACTGTGTCTTTTCGGGCATGTGTTCTCTCTGCCCCTGCTGTGTGTGGAGCTACAGTGGTGCATCAAAGTGCATACTCAGTGTTATCTGATAGAAGGAGGTCCTCTACTTATCCATTGAAGATCCCTTCCATTCCCACTCAAAGCCTGCCTTCTACTGTGCACATTGTCATCATGGTGATATTTGTACTGTGTGTTGGAGGCAACATACTTGGTTTGACTTAGTATTTGTTTTCCTCAAAGACTTGGATGGGAATTTCTTTAGACAAAATAGCAGCCTGCTTGCTGATACTGAGTCAGTTATTGGGTCATAGTCTCTCCAGCACATCAGACTCCAAAACTATCAGTGCACATATTTGCTTCCCTATCAGGACTGAGTTTCATGAGTACATCTGATATAAATGAGGCCCCTTTTCAGGAATATCTCACTCATAAGAGAAACTTGGGAACAGCCAGTGATTTGCTAAGCCAGTTACTAGGGCCATGATGGCCACTTCAATATCACCTGGAAAAATGCCTGTTTCTAGGAAGCCTTCGGACTGTACTTTATCTGTGATACCTCCTATCTATAATTACTCATGTAGATTTCATTACCAGCCTCACAGGTGACTAGAGTAGGCAAGGACATAAGAGCCTTACCTGACCTTACTATTGTTTTTTGCATTCAGACATTGGTAAGTTTCAGGCTATAGCCTGGGCATTTAGTCTATGGTAAGGCATCTCTGCCTAGAGCTTTACTTCTGCTGGTATTTGCTGATGTGTGTCCTAGTGGCTGCTGTTTGAGTGTTCCAGAAGTCTCTGACCAGTGACAGAATCACAGTATGTTATTTGGAGGCTGGGTACATGCCTAGATGAGCCCCCTTGTCCTTCCTGCCCCAGTATCCCCTAGGAAACAGCAAATGAAGAGACTTATGATAGTTTTGCCTTTAGATGTCATATTTCTGCTTGGCTGGAAATACAGGTCAGAAAATGGCAGGTCCATGCTCTGAAAGATATTCCAATACTGGCTGCTTAATTGTATCAGATGTGTTTCTCCTCTGATTGCACCAGAGATCATTCACAGTTGGTACTGGGCTGCTGAAAGGCCCCACACATATTAGCCATACCTGTGTGCCTGGGACACAGCCTCATCAGCTCATCATTGTGCTTTGAAAGATCCTGTGAGAAATCCCTGGCATTCAGTCCACTGTCTATGTTTAGCTTTGCTCGAGTATTGGCATTCCAGAGGCATTCAAGGAGCCTTCTTGAAAGATCCTGTGAGAAATCCAGGCATGTCGTCCCTTGTCTGTGTTTAGCTTTACTGGAGCTTAGGCATTCTGGGACCTTCTTGGGATTTTTAGATTCTTCAGCCTCTAGGGAGCAAAGTTGTTGTTTGACAGGTAAGGGGAAATACATAAGAGGAAGGCAGCTTACCCAGAACTAGAGAGGCCACTGCCTAGCTTTCTGCCCAGCCCCTGGCCTAGCATTGCCTATACCTTGACCCTTTCCTCCAGCCCTTTTAGCATGTGCATACTCACACTGGTATGCAGGCAGCTCTGGAAGGTTCTTAGGCAACATCACTGCTGCGGAGAGGGACTTTCAGAATCTTTACCTCTTTTCTTCTCTTGTATTTTTGAGGGATTAAGACTCCTCTGCAGATACCATAGTGTAGCTTAAAATAAAAAGCCCAGGACTTGGAAATTGTGTGGACTCATGTTCATAGTAGGTATCAATCATTGATAAGCTTTTTGCTCTTGGGATGATGAGGGTAAGTCCCACCAGGAGTCTGGTGCAGTGCTTGCTCACACAGACCTCATATGGGTAGATGACAGTTATGAGTAATGTTCCTCTTCCACGTACCCCAGACTGTCCTAACCTTTCAGGCCTGTGATATCTGCATCTGTGTACTGAGGACAGAGGCAATGGAACCTGATACTTAGTACTGGAAAGCCCAGTGAAGATGTGGGTATTCCAGTCCATACTCCCAGCTCCCCTAAGCTCCCAGCTGCCTCAGTGCCATGGACCTACGTAGAGGCCTTGTTCTGACCCTGCTCATTTCTGTTGGAGTACTCTCAGCCTTCAGACAGTCTTGTGGGTGTGGGAAGCAGAGAACACTTGTGTTCTGGTTTTAGCCATTGTACCAGAGAGGTGGTCTATGAAAGCAAGGAAGTAGTTCAGAGTCATCTAGCTATTTAAGGAGAGGACTGGGTTGTACCCCCAGGCTGCTAACTCCAAACTGTTCCCCCTGGCTCTCAAAGTCATGACTAAAGGAGGGAGGCTCTGTTAAACTGGCTTCAAAGGACTCATTCAAACACATCCCTTAGGTAGATAGAAATATTTACCCTCCTCTTTAAGACTCAATCTCTCTTGCTGTACATGGGGACTCCTGCCATGATAGCTTAGCATATAAGACAGTGGCATGGTGTACCACCAAGTATCAGGACTCCAAAAACAGTACCAAGTTCTGCTCCTTCCCAACTGTGAGGTTGGAGGCAGCTTGGTGCTTTAGCCAGGCCCAAGTTCATCTCTGCTCTGCATGGCTGTGAGCTGTTGAATAGTTACTTGTCCCCTCTGCTGTGTCTCCTGGGATCCATTGTGACTCTTGACCCTGATTAGCTTAATACACCCTACTTTCCTCTTAGGCTTTAGAAGGAGCCTAGAAATGTCCAAGAAGCATGTAGACCAGGACTTGGCAGATGGAGAGCATTCAATAAACGTTAATGATAATTACACAGTTTGAAGGGCTGTTGTGAAAATTAAGGATAATACGTGTGCATGACTGGCCATAGTGTAGGCTCTCTACACTGTGCATTACCACTGTTCTTCTCATTGAGCATGGCTCTGAGCAGGAATGTCAGCTGCCTTCTCCCTGTGGCACGTGTTCAGCACTCTTGTTGCCAGCTAACTCAGGCTTTGTTCTCCTCCAACTAGGCCAGGGAACTGGAGAACAGAGAGGCCGAGCTCAGCCGCCGTGACACCTTCTACAAGGAGCAGCAGGGGCGCATCCAGGAGAAGGTAAGACTCGGGCCTGGTTCCTTCTACGTAGGTCCCAAAGGTACTTGACCAGAGCATGTCACCATGATGGAAGAACAGCGGGTCCCATGCTGGCTTACTCCAACACCAGTCACCTTGTGGACATGCCCATCCTCTAGCCTCTGCAGGAGTACCATGATCCCAGCCTTTCAACAAGTTGCAATCACAGAGATAATTGCTTTTTAATTGGCCGTTTTCTGTGAATGTGGCTGGCTCTACTACAATCCAGTTTTAGAAAAATAATTCACTTTCACCACAGGGCGGTGCTAAGACCCAGTATACCTTTTTTACTTGAGTTAAGCTACATTGGATAAAAATAATAATAACATGAAGCCTTGCTGTACAAATGCATTAAAGTTGTATCATCGATTTTCTCCTGGGACTTGGGAAGATCAAAGTACTCTGCTGCTGTATGCTTGCTTCTGTTCTGAGGATGAGCCCAAGAATGCCAGAGAGTCACAGGCATTTTTACCTGGTTAAATGCTAGCAATTTATGATTGAAAATTTATTTGGTAATATGCTTACTTTGGGAGGTTTAATTTGCTAATTATGACAGATTTTCCAAAGAAATGGCTTATAGCATGGGAAAAGAAGGTTGGAAATTTTTTTTAAAAAGTATTTTCCTTCATGCCTAAGAAAAGTATTCTTTCTCATGCCAAGCAATCTGAGCCACCAGCTATTGCAGGCAAGTCTTCTCTTGTCGTTTGTCATGGTTTGGAACTTTGAAAGTGACAGTTTGCTTGAGGGGCCTGCTTTCCATGGGGGTTTTCTCCTGCAGCACGCCACAGTAGAGGCTGGCAGAAGTGTGGGTTCTGGATTTCCAGGTAATGAGGACAAGAGGGCAGTGGCTCCCTGCTTCACAGCCACCTGCTTGTCCACTTCTGCCAGGCATGTAGAGGAAAGCCAGCATTGAGGATAGAGCCCTGACAGTGATACCCTGCAGTCCTAAGCACGTGCTTGAGCAGTGCCAAGCGGCCTTTAAGGAGCCAGCTTTCACAAAGCAGCGCGTGCACAGGTTTGACTGTAGCATGCCATGTTAAGAATTGTGATTTGGGATTACAAAGAGGAGTTTAAAAAAAAAATCCACCAGCTATGGCTCTAATTATCACAGTCGCCCATATGTTCTCAGGCATGGAGATATTCTTTCTGGTTGTATGTGCAGTACTGTTTCCTGCTGTGCGCTCCTCGTCTCTGATTTGGGCTTGGCTACTCAGAGCTTGCGCACATGCTTCTGTAGGGTGGGAGGAAGTGGCCTTGTAGCAGCTTTCCTCTAAATCTGTTTTCCTTTCATCGTGCTCCTCTTCCTCCTGGGTGTCTCTATAAGGCCAGTCTTCTGCTCTGCCATGGGAGAGGCAATCCTCCTACCGGGCTCTTCCACCTCCATTTTTCCTCTCTACTGCTGCGAAAGGGGCGCTCCACTCCTCACACACAGAATTTTGCATGCTTGTGAATAGTTCTATGCTTTGACAGGAGCTGTCAAAGTATGCTCTCCTTTCTGGTAGTGCTTTGCTGACAATGATAAAGAGGAAAACACCTCACATCCCCGCAGATAGAGAGTGGTATAGAGGTAGTGGGGTTGCAGGAAGGCCAAAGAGTGAGGCTTACCTGTATTAGTTCTGAAAAGAAGGGTTGATCTTTTCCATGGATAAGCTTATTCTGGTAATGGTTGAGAAGAAGAAATTACAGCCTCTGACAATCTCTCTATAGCTGCTGCTTTGCTTCAGTTTGGCTTCTGTTTGTGAACACTCTTAGGTTAGCCATTTGTAGCTCCCAGACCTTCCAGCCATCATGCTCCTCCCCGTCCTTCCTCATCCCCTCCCTCAACATCCCCTTCCTGTTTCTTTCTCTCTTCCCTTTCTTTTCCTTTTCTGTTTCTTTAAGTGTAGACACTGGCAGCAGAGCCTGTTCTAAGAGGAAGTAGGGAAGATGTGGACAGTGGAACCCTATCTGGTTCCATGGAGAGTGGAATCTTACCCTGGGGGAAAAGGGCTCCTTCTGGACCTCTGAACAAGGCAGAGTGCAGGGCAAGGCAGGAGTAAGGTATAATGGTGGAGTCTTCAGGCTAGAATTCTGCCACCTGCCATCCTTGAGGCCAGTCCTGGGGTTCTATGTGGGCCTCCCCTGGCCACAATGACAGACAGGGAAGGAAAGTCTACACCATCCAGGCTCATCAGGAGAAGAAGACTTTGTGGTGCTTTTATACTGCTGTGTTTATTCTGCTATGATGACCTTTTAGTGTGGAAGTAGAGGATGTTGTACTTAGCAAACTTTCCAAATAACTATATCCTGTACCACATGGAAAGGTATAAGTGTAGAGTGTTGAATTTTGCCAGGGATAACAGTGAACTACTGAGAACATGGGCCAGTGGAAGATTCTCATGCACCTGAGGGAAAACTGTAGGCATCCTAGTCACAGGGGACAGCCATCCATCCAACTGAGCTGACAGAGCCTGGATGTCAGCATCTGAAATGCTGTTTTCTCTGTTACTCTGCAGTTCCCATTTCTCCCTATGTCTCCATTTCCTCATCTTTAAGATGGAGTCATCTATGCTGTCTGTGAGGAGGGAATGGAGACTAATGTAGGTAGTATCTATGGAAGTGTTGCCCTAGACAAGGTGCTGGTTTTGTCCTGTAGCCACTTGGGATTCTGTATGGTGTCATACATAATGAGTTCTTTAGTTTGGGATTAGTGCATGGACATGGGTATGTACATGCATGCTGTGAGTTTGAACCTAGGTATGCTGAGGTGAGTTTCAATACTGAAGACAATCTGTCCCCATCTTCTGCTCTCTGGAATGGAGAAGCCTCCTCTCTGGACTTCATAAGGCTTTTTATGAATGCATACCAGGAGTCCCACAAGCAAGGCATTGTGCAGGAGGCTGGGTCTAGTTCACATTAGCATTTCTCATACACCAAGAGAATTTTTATTGTGTGTTAGATACCTGCACCAGCATGTCCTCAGAGTCATGCTTAGAGGACCTCTTACCATCTTGCTTGCACTCCAGCTGAACATGCACTCAGCTGTCATTTTTGTGAATAATTCTAGGAGATGAAAGAACTGGGGCAGGATCCCCACACTGCCTGGAATCAGCTGGGATGAGTTGTCTCTCTTCAACCATGCATTTGCTTCTGGCAGAGACTCCTGTGAAATGCCTGAAAAGCTCACAGAGCTGACCACTTTTGCTGACAAAGCTCAATTGGGTGTGACTAACCATGGCCCATTGAACTGAGTAAGAGAAGGGGACAAGAATGCTTTAAGGACCTGTAGACATCCTCTAGTTCAGCCTTGGTAATGATGCAACCTTGTGCTGAGTATAGTGTTTATATCCTTCTTATCCTTGAAGTGATGATCTGCCCATTATTTTAGCATGAGTGATTATTGATGTAAAGCAAACATCAGAATGCATACAGACATAAGTAATAAGTTCTCTTTAATGTTATTTTTACCCTTTCCCTCTTTTTAAGTTTAAATACATATCCATTCATTAATTCCACATCGATTCAAGTTTGTTGTTTCATGGAAGCCTCAGGTGTGGAGGGGAGGTGGTGAGATTTGGGGAGGGCCATGGATCTTCAGGTGTGGAGGGGAGGTGTGAGGCTTGGGGCAGGCCATGGATCCTCTGGTATGGAGGAGAGGTATGAGGCATAAGCAAGGTGTGGCTCCACCTTGTGGAGTCCTCTGGAATAGAGAGAAATGATGCCCATGCTCTAGCTTCTGAGCCACAAAGACCCCTCAGTTCTGTAAGACCTTGTCTTACTTTCCCAAACTTGTCAGCTTCACCGAGGAGAAAGCTTGTAAGCCAGCTTCCAAGACTGAATTTGGAGAAAGCACAAAACTCAGAAATGTCTGTATTCTTCCTGGACTTTGGCTCTATCTCAGCACAGACATCTGTACACATCCTGCTTGCCTGTTCCTGAGTAGTGAACCCTTTCTTCCTCCTTTTCCTTTGATAAAGAAGGGCTGTAAACAGGTCCAAACAGTCCTGATCAGCCTTCTTACTAACACACTCTCAAAGCCTGCCTGACTAGGCACAGGTATCCTTGTTGCTTGGGGGTGTCAATCAGTGTATTCACAATGTTTTCAGTTGCTAGTGAGCATGTACATACCAGGGAGCCATAATCTTCACCCACAGGGTCAAACTATTGTATACTCAGCAGAAGGACCAACATGGAAGAGGTGAGAGCAGGTGAAATTCTCAGACAAAGCCATGGGAGTACACCAACAAAGCCACTTAAGAAAAACTGAGGTCCAGGTCTGTTATAACCAGGTGTGGACATACCTAGTGGCACAGAAGATTCTCCAGAAGAAGCCATGGGGCAGTGCTCAGGAGAGCCTCAGACCAGAATCATGGAATCCATTCATCTATCCAGTGAAGAGCAAGAATGGGCAGACAATGATGATGAAGATTGTAAACCCTGTTAAGGAAGTAAAAGAGGCCAGGTGTGGAAGAGATGTCTGTGTTGTATCTACATAAAAGCAGCAAAGCAGATCTGAGGGTTACAAGGTTGAACAGTGGAGATGGCCTGACTGGAAGATGTGTAGCATGGGGGTGGGACACTTGTCACCTTGGGTAAAGCCCTGACTAGAAGAGGATGCATGGGTTGGGCAAGGTCCATTCTCTGACCTATGAAGAATTCATCTGTCAGTGTGTTAGACTTTGGAAACAAAGGACTGCTACTGAGGAGGGAAGGCCACCAGGGAGTGCCTGATACCTTCTGCTACTTTGTCCCTTCTCCTGGGGCCCTTCCACAGATTGTAGCACACCCAGTACATATCATGTTGACTAGTCCGTGCTAGTGTCTATGGCTTTCCCCCTCCTTCCTGTAAAAGCTGTTGAGCACAATCCTGATCAGCGTCATTCAGAAAGGGCGCTTCATTGGTGGGGGCCAGGAATGCAGTGTCGGGCATATAATAGGGGCTTAGTAAATATTTTCCAAAATAAAGAGAAGAAAGTATGTGCACATAAACAGGAAACAAATGC